CAAGCCCCAGCCCAGCCCCACACCTGAACACACACACATCACGCACACACACTCACCATGCGTGCACACACACACACATACTCACACACACACACACACACACACACACACACACTCACCACACATACACACTCCCTGAGCAAACTGCTGAGCCCTCATTTACCTTCCCAGATGCGGCAGAGAGAATACAGTCAGTCAAAGAGAACATGAGACCTCATTCCTGCCCAGGGTCAGTGCTGTACTGAGACGTTGGAGACTGTGACGAGACCTCGCCTTTCCCACGGCACTGTGGCCGTGCCTTGCTGAGACTGCTGCCTGCTSCCCCTACTCCAAACGCCTCCTTCATGCCCCGACAGGCAGCTCCTCCAGGGGGAGGGGCTCCCCCAGAATCTCCATGCAGGCTCTGGACCCCCTGGCTCTGGTGGAGGAGGGCAGTGCACGCACGTGGGCTGCGTGGACGCCCACTGCCCACCGCCCACCCTCCTGAGGAGTGGTCCTCTGAGGGGCTGGTGGCCTTGGGTCTCACTAGCTCCAGGGAAAATAGCTGCTGTTTTCAGCACAAATTTCAGACCGAGGTCACCATTACTTGTCCTCCGATAGCAAGAGAGGGCCGTACCGTGGGCCCACACGRCAGCCAAGGGAAGGAGGACCAGGGGACACCGCACTCGGGTGTGCTCCTTGTCCTGCATGCTCCTCACAGCTTCCTGGGAGGGAGGGCGGGTCCCCACTCTGCAGGTGACAAAACTCAAGCTCCCAAGTTCTAGAGAGTGGCCAAGAAGCGCCCCGCCCAGGCCTCCCCACTCCACGGCCACCCCCTCCTCCACACAGGACCTTCCCCCCCAGCAGGACCCAGCTGGGAGTGGGAACAGGGATTGCCCACCACAGCCGACTCTCCTCTCTGGACACGGAGGGCCCTGCATCCCTGGCTCCCTCTTCATCTGAAGAGGATGATGTGGCTGATGACCTCCAGCACGAAACCCGGGGTTCCCCAAGGAAAGAGATTCTCCGTGAAAGTTCTYGGAGCAAATGTATCCGGATTGGCTGGTTTTTTCTTTCTTTTCACCTTAAAACGCCCCTGAGCCACACTCCCCTGTAAGAAGCACACCCAGGCACCTGTCTGGCAGCTGTGGGGTGGGGGACAGTCAGGGTGGGTGCCCAGCCAGCAGCAGGCCATGTCTTTGGTGTTTATAGGTGTGTGGTTTTTATTGATTTCAATTTTTAATATTTTACTTAAAATTGTTGAACTGATACATAAAAATCTAAAGTCATTCCTATCTGTGGGGCATGGTGTTAGTCAGTGAGACACACCTGTCTCCTCAAACATTKATCCTTTCTTTATGGGGAAARCATTCCCACCGTCTCTTCTGGTTTTTGGAAAGACACGGAACATGACCATCCTCTTGAGTTGCCTGCCGGGAACTGGCACCCCAGAACTTCCTTGAAACTTCCGGAAACTAAGACCAAAAAAGTAAGAGGACGGGACCAGGATACCAGGGGCTTGCAGTGGCCGGGCGTCTGGTCCACCACGCCTCGACTCCCAGCCATGCTGGTGGGGCTGCCAGGAATGCCCACAGGAAGCTGCTGGGGTGGGTGGTGCTCACATCCTGCAGGGCATCAGAAGCCCTGGCCCCATAACAAACCCGGCCATGCGACCCCTGGGTGCATTTGTGTAGGAACATAGTTGTTTAGAAATAAAACTCAGGAAAGAGGGTCAGAGAGAGTCGGGAAAAGTGCAGAGATGRGTGGTGTCCAGTGGAATTCTGGGGAACACGTTTGGGAAGGGCCAGGGTGGAGTGGAAGCCAGGGCATCCGAGCAGAGGCTGTCGTGCCTCCAGGGCAGGAAGGCCCAGGACAGCCCYGACTAGGACCAGAAGAGAGGGGCTCCTGGAGTCAGGTGCGTGTTTTCTAAGGGTCCCAGGGGCGCTCTCCAGGCCAACCTGGCKGGTGAGGCCAGAGGTAGGTGGCGGCATGGGAACCTTAAAGGACAGCATCTGGGACAGACCAGAATGAGGGAGTGTGGAAATCTAGGGCTGAGGAGGAGGAGGCGGTGCTGGGCCTCCCTCGGCTCGCGACTCTCCTCGGGCTTCAGCTCTGTGGCTGTCGTGCTGTGGGTTACACTCGAGAACCTCCAGCAGCGCCTCTTCCAGATTTGCGACGCTGTCATTCGAGATCTCCCCAGTAATGTAAATCCAACAACCAGGAAATTGACTGTGAAGGAAACTCTTGGCTGTGGAATATGGAGGAGCGTTTGCTTGCCACCAAGAAGGGAATGTAAATGCTTTATCGGGTATCCACACCACGGGATTGCAAACATCAACTCTGCGATAATGAGGAGAGGACAGAAGGAGTTTAAAGACATCCAATAGAATGACTAAACTACTTACCCAAAAACATATGTCATGATTTCCACCATAAGTGATGGTACAGAGGAGTCGGTCTGAGAGCACTAAATTTAGGATTGGAAGGGCCCCTCCCCCTCAGTGTCAGAAGCTTCCATTTAACTACGGGAACAGGAAAATGCTGATCCACGCAGGATTCGCCGTCTCTGGGACTAAGATAGCCACCACGGCGGAACACAGATAGCTGCCAGGACCACCCATCAGCAAGACTGGGGTCCCAACTGTGGCAGGGTCCTGGGGTCCCCAGGGAGGAAAGGGTGACATAAAACACAAGAATACAGGTGAACTTGACGGGCTTTTTAAGGATCCAGTGCCTGGGTACCTGTGGCTTGTGGGGGATGGGGTCTCACCACCGTGGCCATCAGATGAGGGGCCAATCTGAAGGGATCAGTGATCCAGGCAAGGACAGGAGGAACCGGAGCAGGAAAGTAAAGAGTCCCAGGGTGGGGGGCAAGAGCGAGAGCAGAGCTCAAGGGACCAGAACAGCAGAGCTGGGCCAAGGGGGAGGCTGAGGGCCAGCGAGAGAGCAGACCAGGTTGGACAAGGCTCCCTCGGGTCAAGGACGATGTCCCTGAGCTCCTGCCATGGAGCTGTGGTGACTTGTGCGTCGACATAGCCCACTGGGTGATGGTCACTGAGCAGCCAGGGTGCACACACATGGGAACCTGGCTGCCATCGTATCAGCCTCCATAGAGGACGCACTGGGCCTCCACTGGCCCACACTGGGCTGGTTCTCAGCCTCTCCCTGTAAACCATGAGAACTAAAATGTCCCAGCAGGCAGGGTGGACGATTATAGCTCCTCTGCCACTTCTGTTCTCAAGGGCAATTAATGGTTGAAATCACAGGCAGCGTGTTGGCTTCCTTGTTGTGCACACGGGCTTGTGGCCACCAAGGCCACCTGTGCCCCTTAGTCAAAGCAGACGCCTTTTGCTTGGGAATAGTGACACTAGAAGGGTGAATGACGATCCTGCTCACGGGGCSACAACACCCAGGCTGTGACACGTCCACCTAGGAGCCAGCCGAGTGGCTGCAGTGTGCTCAACACTGTACCAGGCCCACAGGGAAATAAATGCCACTCTGGGTGTCTAGGAGCCCAATGTTGGTGACAGAAGAGCCGTCATCCTGCCACACAATATGGGGACTTAACGGCCTGGTTGTGTGAGAAGGACAAGGGCCGTTCATAAGCAAGGGGGCAGAAAAAGGAAATGGGGTTTTAACAAGATGCCAAGTTTTACCCTGACTTTGTCACAGGCTGAGAGAGGAGCCCAGTGCCCCAGGCGAGTCKGCAAGACTTAAGGAAAAGAGCAGCCTCACTGTCAAATGCCACCGTCCKGTGAGGACAGGCAGTGGGTGTCAAAGTGTTTAATAGTCACACTTTTGATCAGCATGAGTTCACAAAGACAAGGGTTCAAAGATGCCTGCAATGGTGTTTTATGAAATAGCAAAAAAGTCTAAATAAATTATATGGGAAAGGAAGAAATTATGGAAAATAAGTTAAACGGGAACTTCTTGGCTAAGGAAATTTTGTTCTAACCTGCTGAAAAGTGATAATGTGCTTCCCCTTCACTGACACAGAAAGACTGTCTGGTGTGAAGGAACAGCGGCTTACAGCTTGGTACATGCAGTGTCGGCATCTGTATCTGTTCAGGGGGCTGCATTTCCACTCCGGCCATCCCCACAGGTGTAGACCTGGACCTAGGCTGTTCCCCAAATGTAGCGGTGATTTCTTGGGTATGAAGAGATGAGAGAAATAGGTTGTCAGACTTACCATTTTCAGCATTTTTTTTTTGAATTTTTAAAATAATGAACATGTTTTATTTTCACAATCAGCAAAATAAGACTGCTAAACAGTAAAATAGTAATGGCCAATGCTTTCATGAGTATTCATGTTAGGAACCCAAGGTAATTACGAAAACCTCAAAGACAYTGAAGAAAGCTTTTCAGTAGAGCTGGCCATTATTCTTAATAGCTCCAAAGTCACTTTTTAATGTGGGTTGATTCAAGTTCTCTGTGTATCGGTGTGGTTCTCAAAGGCACTGAGTTATACCCTGTATCCCAGGTGACACAAAATGTTTTCAGCCCAAAAATAGATGAGGTTATAAACCCATCAAAAGTGATGACCTTCAGAAGACACGAAAGGCACCCAAAAAAGTAAGACCAAGAGACATGTAGAAAATCYATGTCGTTTTTTGGAAATGAAATGACTACAAAAATATCAACTCGAAAAAGCATCCAAAAAAAAAAAGCTTCAACAGGGGAGAAAATAGAGAGCAAAATTTTGGCACATGTATGTCAAAAATCCAGTGTCAGAGAGGTTTTGGAAACCAGTCGTGCATCACTAAGTATATTTATCCAAGATCGGTGTGCCAGACGCTCATCGCCAGGAGCAATGGGAAATTTCTGATGCCCTAAAAATCTCTTTTCAGTGACTTCCTGATAACACAGCGATAATGTGAGGATTTATTTATTTATTGGATCACTGGTGACCAAAGCTGACCTCGGGGGAAGAAGGGAGAAGGATACAGCTGTCCCCGACCCATTGTCTCAATGCCCATCTAAGACCTAGTATGGATGTAATTGTCTTTTCTTCTCATCTCCAGGAAAAGCACAAACAAGAAATGACAACGATGGCCAAGTTGACAGAATCCATGAGTGAGTAACCTCAAATTCATTACTGGTTTTGATTCTGGTAGAAAATCCCAAAGACCACACCCCTCTGGGATGGTCCGATTGGTCCTGGTCGCCCACTCTTGCTCGGGCCAAGCTGTTTAGCATGGCACATCGCACCGTGCCATGCATGTGTCTTCAGGTATTATTCAGAATGCATCTTGCTTGGGGTCAAATTTCTGTGCTGAAGCTGTTACCCAAACTACAGAGCTAAATAATGAAAATGGATTTTATCTGTAGCAGTGCACTGGGGATGGGGACCCAAGGTAATTTGAACCTGAATTTTAGAAGGTTTTAATGTAAGTCAGCTGAAGTTTAATGCGTGGCTTTCCTGTGGGTCCGGCTGATCTAAAAAGAGGTGGAATGACGGATCATTGCTAAATCTTTTCAGTGTAGTTCAGAAATTTCAGACAGAAGTACTTTATAATGGAGTGCTTGGGGTGTCGCTGGCTTGTCATGATTTAATTTTGAGTATATCTGCATCATAACGCTCTAAGCTCTTAAGCTAAATAAACAGAACATACAAAGCATTTTTAATAGGAAAGGGGGAGATTAATTATAATGAATCATCCTGCAAATAAGAAATGTTTCCTCTGTGGAAGTTTAAATATTAAAGGCCTGTGCTTATTGTTGCCTTTGAAAATATATATTGCTCCTAGAGATAAGAWTTTTCATGGAAAGTTCCAAGAAGCTTGCACACACTTCTGCATTACCAATAGGGCTATTAGCACCTTATTAAATTTGGCCTGAAAATTTAACCATTAATCTTGCCCCCACTTAACGGGGCACCTTCTTCCTTCTATTATTCCTCAAACCATAAGACTATTAAACACAAGTGTTCCTCTGTAGCACAGCCGAGAATCTTTACCCCTATATCTGTCCCTCCCCCAGGCAAGATAATGTTAAAAATTGTTTACACTTCTCTAATTCCTGGCCCCAAACCCCTGCCTAAGTCCGTGCCAGTCCTGATGGCGTGCTCATGTCACCATGCAGACGATGACTCAGAGGGACTAGGTAAGGAGCAGACCCCTGGGAATCTCTGTCCCTCTCTTTAGCCCCACTCTCTGCCCTACTGTCTGTCCACCTCCACCTTCGTCTTGCACATTGAGAATTGTTGAAAGGATTTGCCACTTAATTTGAAGAACCCCAAACTGGTTGTTGGTAAGTTTAGGTATCTGGAAGTCATGGAGCGTCCTCGCAGACCTGGCATGAAATGGGGAGGTTGTCAGGCCCAGCTCGACCAGAAAAGCCTGTGTTGTCAAAATATGGAGCAGAGGCTTAAGACGGCACCAACATGTCCCTGTCCCCAGACATGAGCAGACTCAGTTCTAAGCTCTCATCCCAATGACCAGCGCGCAGGCTCATGGGTTCTCAGCGTGCAGGCTCACGGCTCAGAACCTAGCTGCATTGTCRGTGAATGTGGTCTTGGATATCTGGGTGAAGTCAGATAGGGCTGACCATGTGTCCCGGGACTGAAAGTGTTCACAGGCTTCTGTTAGAAGTTGATATCCTAGTGTAGTTACTMACCCCGTTGGATTGTAAAACAGGTGGGCGCTGAAGTGGTCAATATATCTGACAAAGGTGTTTTTATTTTTCTTCCTCTATGGTATTTTGGATTCCAGATGCATTTTAGTAAGAGTTCCTCACTTGAATGTTGCTTAGCCGGATTGAGGTTTCAGGTTTGCTTCGATGAGAATCCTTRTGACGTTGGTCCAGGAATCCATTGTCTTAGGAAAACTCAGTCAACATTAAATTTCAGACCTTCTGGTGGATGAAAGGGACCAGACATTCTTCTAAGTTGCTCTGTCTTTAATAAAAAGATCATATAGATATATTCAATGTATAAGAAATTCAAGGTCTGATTGCACACCTAGGGGTTATACCCAGCATTGTGGGTTCACTGATTCTCAGAGACAGAACCTTTTGTGACTCTCCTAGCTGCTATGAAATGCTCATTATGTGGTCAACCCTTACAAACACGGCATGAACATCAAGTTCATGAAAATGAAATGTACAATTGCACATTTATTCTGAGCAGGAAATCTATAAGGAAATAAATACATAATTTTTAAGGAGATTCCATCAGGACACTGAGCAAAGAATGACACACAATTACCCCTCCATAAAGCTGATGGGAACATCAAAGCCATGGCCATCAGAGGAGAAGGACATAAACAGAATCAGGAACACCCAGCACAYGGTGCTCCGAATGGGCTTCCAGAGCCAGTCAACACTTTGCTTGATAAACTGCCAAGCAAAACCCATCTGGTTACTAGAACATCTCTCTGTTTAACCAGAACTRGTAGTGATTCTTCTCCTGCCACCGTCCCCGACCAAATGCTTTCAACGGCTAAGCAGATACCATGCCTTCTTCTTCTAGAGCAGGAATGAGGAACATTTCATTCCATCATGTGCCATTAATCAACCACCTTGAAAGTCAACTGCACTCATATTTTCTAAAGGGCAACCAAGAGAGAGAAAAATGTTAACAGATGTTTAAATGTCCAATTAAAGACAACTTTACTTTTTTTTTCCTTTCTAAAATTTTATTTGTCATTTTTGGTTTTACATGACGGTAGAATCTGTTTTGATATATTTGTACATCAAAATATTCTAATTAGAATCCCAGTCTTGTGGATGTACCCAAGATAGAGACTCACTGGGGTGTATTCATTCACGTGCATAGGAGAGCTATGTCGGATTCATTCCACTCTCTTTCCTATTCTTATCCCCGCTCCCTTCCCTTCATTCCCCTTTGTCTAATCTACAGAAACTTCTATTCTTCCCCTCTCCCTCCCCTTGTTATGGGTTAGCACCCACATATCAGAGAGAACCTTTGACCTTTGGTTTTGGGGTATTGGCTTACTTCACTTAGCATGATAGTCTCTAGATCCATCCATTTACCTGCAAATGTCAAAAAGCCATTCTTCTTTATCATTGAATAATATTCCATTGTGTATATATACCACATTTTCTTTATCTATTCATCTGCTGAAGGGCACCTAGGTTGGTTCTACAGCTTAGCTATTGTGAATTGAGCTGCTATAAACATTGATGTGGCCATGTCATTGTAGTATGCTGACTTTAAGTCCTTTGGGTATAGACAGAGGAATAGGAGAGCTGGGTCAAGTAGTGGTTCCATTCCTAGTCTTTTTGAGGAGTCTCYGTACTGCTTTCCAGAGTGGTTGCACCAATTTGCAGTCCCACCAGCAACGTATGAGTGGACCCTTTTCCCACATCCTTGCCAACACTTATTGTTAAGGCAACTTTATTTAATATTAATCTTAATATTTTAAGATAATGCTTTAAAATACTTTATATCTCCTTTATTGAAAGGAGAAAGGGGTATGATAAAGAAAAAAACACAGAAAGAAAATAGATATGAAGGAAGAATAAAATGGCAAAAACACAAGGAAGAAAAATCAAGAGAAAAAAATAGATGCACATGAAAACAGATCCAGAGATGGCCTGTTGAGGAGAAGAGAGACGCGATCCCAAGGAGCAAGGACAAGGCACACAGGCAAGAAGGGAGAGGAGGCGGCAGGGTGCTGGCGGAGAGGATCCCCCAGGCCTGCAATTTGGTCAGCTCACTGTGGCCTTGCAATCTCCCAAAGCCTGTGGCAGTTTTCATACTGCCTTTTTAAATTTTCACCAGTTTGCACCCTTGAAATGGATATTTGCACACTTAGACCACCAGAAGCCCTGCTCAGGGGCARCAGGAATACCCTCACTGGAGGAAGCGCTCAGAGCTTGCACTGTACCACCCCGCTGCCCACCTACTGAGATCAAACCCAAGCTGATCAGTAGAGGTTCTGGCCCTGTCTATAAATAGACTGCAGTGACCCAGCCTGTGCCGTCATCCGAGGTGATGCTGGGTGGGTAGGCTTTCTCCTGGGCTGGCAAATCAAAGCCAGACTTTGACAGATGGAGGTGTCCAGGGGCCTGCAGGAACCCGGGGGCTGGGAACCACATTCAGTGCTTTTGCAGACTGTCCTTACATAAAGTTCATAGGTAACTTGCTTCATGGTCATTGCCAGCTGGTGTGACCTCCACCCCCACCTAGAGCTGCAGGTGACATGTCAGAGAGGGCTCAAGAGGTCTCATCACAAGGTTCCAGTGAGAGTGTGTGTTGAAATCCGATGGCAATCCGTGGCATGGAGATGGAGTTCCAAGGACGGAACGGGACAGAACTCAGCAGCCACAACCTGTGGGCCGCAGGGCCACTCCTGGGGCGCCCACTGTCCCAGACGATTTGTCTGCCTCACCTTGGGATTCAGCCACCCACCTGCAGCACGTCACTGCATCTGCAGATTAGAAGCCCTGACCTGCTTGCAGTCTGCTCTGATGCTGCAGGACAGACGTCTTCCTGCCACTTTCTGCTCCACTTTGCCAGCCCCTCCCACACAGGTGTACCCCATGTTCCTCTTTTCCTAGCCAGAGTGTCCCTTGTGGTCCTCCTCACGTTCTGCCCTGGCCGTCCCCATCTGGACGTCACCACCGCAGGACAGCCGCCCGGGTAAGAGTTGACTCGGCTTTTTTGTCAAACAAGCAGCCGAGCAGCCGTGTTGTTCCCAGAGGTCCAGGGGCTGTGTCTTCGTCCAGGCAGGGAGAGGCGAGTAGCCCASGGTTCCTTTCACTGCCCAGAGCCAAGGACCTGCTCTGAGCGGTGTTCAGAGGTCTTGGCTGTCTGCTTTGAAGTAGAGGGAATTCCTTCTGTGATTAAAGAAACAGCTCGAATTTAGCACAAATGTGAAATCTTCTCAAGTCAAATGAAATGAGGAGAGGGAGCCAATTATAATCACCACACATTAAATTAGCTCTTCAGGGCAAAGTGGCGTTTAATCATTCATCCCCTCTTTTTTAGAGCAGCTATTATAACTCTGGCAATGTGTCAGGGCATGCAAGAACAAGAAGGGGCTTTCTGCAGGCACCACAGGCAGCGTCTTGGGGCAAAGGAGGCAGGGCTCACAACTAGGACCCRGGAA